TGAATGTAAAACTAATGCTCTGCCCTGTAAACTTTCACTCAATTCACAATAAAAAATGTACTGATAAAGATACTTTTGTAAGTGACTCAGATCATGACACCAAGACATAGAGGCCATATTCAACCACAGAAACAAACATGGTAAGTTGGGATGGACCTTGGTGAATCACTTGTTGCCTGGAGGGACAAGAGGAGGAGCTTGCAGTGACTTGGAGGAAGGCTGGACAAGGACTTCTAATGATGAAGATGAAGATTATGATCATTGCTATACTAAGCATCTCATTGCAACAACTGAGTATCACTAGTTGTTAAGCACTGTGCTAAATTTTACGTGTAATTCTTCAGTGAACTATCCTAATTACCCATTTGATAGATGAGAAAACTGAGACTCTGAGAGGGTAAGTCACTTGCCTGATATTCACAGCAGGGCTGGGATTTGCACCTAGGATTGGGTAATGCCAGTGTCCAAGCTTTTGTCAGATGCTAAGACTCCTTCTTCCTTGCAGGTTTCAAGAGTTTAGACAACAGCACAGAGCTTGCTCCTAGCCTACATGGGACCCTTTGTAGACCTGGTGGTGGTCAGAGCTCCTATCTTCCAAACCACCTAAATGGTCCCTTTGGAGCTGGGGGGAGTTAAAGTCCCAAGTACAAACATGGAAACCTCAATTCCCAGTCCAGTGATGGTGCCAGCAGTCTACAGGTGCCCTGGTGCTTAGAGAGGGTGGGCAGGATTGGGTAGGGCTACCCTGCCCCCTGCATCCCATAACAGTGATGTCACCGTTCCCTGGGCATAGGCCACAAGCCAACCACTGTACCAAGCACCCTCTCTTTAAATCCCTACCCCAAGCCTACAGCCCCATCACACAGAGCAGGAAACTGAAGTTCAGAGACAGGGACAAGTTTGCACAGTAAGAGGCAGTAAGAGCCAAAGTCCAGGCTGACCTGTACTAAAAGGTGCCCCAGGTCTCCCAAAGACTAAAGAACAGGTAGACCCCTCACATTTGTGTTCTGTATACCCAGTGGAGTCCTGGTGTGGCACTGTAGGATAAGCACTGGACTCCTAACCACAAGGTTGGGGGTTCAAACCTACTAGCTGCTACTTGAAAACCCTATACAAGGTCACTATGAGTCAGAAACAACGCAACAGTACTTAACAACTACAACAGCATGCACAGCGGGGAATTGTAGGCACAGCCCTTCCTGGTGGATCAGTCCTGGTTGGTGGGATCACAACCTTTCTTGCATTGGTTTTTCCCACATCCCCACTAAGTGACCACAGTCCTGCTCTTCCCACCCTGCTTACTCTGAGCGGCCATTGACGAGTGGTTGGGTACCTGGGTGTGTCACCCAGGTGCTGGTAGACAGAAAGCCTCCTCCCAGACCCTTCATCTCTCCGTTGTAAAACATGCTTCAGAAGAGAAGTGGGAATGTATGGGCAATGTGCCTGACCTATCTGACATGCCTGACCTGCCTGACCTGCAGGTGGTGGCAGTGAGGAGCAGGCATGGGATTTGTAGTCAGGAGAACTTGGATTTGGTTCCTGGACCTATTATTTACAACTGTATGGGTATGGGTAAGTCCCTTAACTTCTGAGAGTCTCAGTTTATTCATCTATAAAATAGGCATATTAATACTTAACTTGAAAGGTCACTGGGAATATTAAAAAATAAAAAAAGTAGGATGTTTGTGGCACAGTATTTGGTACATAATGAAGTGCAATGGATGATTTTCCTAAAGATTTTTAAAAATACTACTTCCCCATTCATATTCAAGAGGGGTGGCAGCTCAGTGGCGCAATTCTATGGCGCAAACGTCTTTTTGTCTGACTGGCGAAAGGAGACAGAAATCTGACCTCAACAACTGGTTTACAAACTTTAAAATATTCTGGGCTGGGGGAACTTTCATTAAAGCAAATTTTTTTTAAGATAGAAGTGGAGCTATTTTAGTTGTTGCTAAGGGGGAGCTAGCTTGCATGCCTCCTGCCACAGGGAGCTCACTCCCTTTCTGGGGTCTGTCTTGGAGTTGGGTAGGTCTGATTGTGAGACAGCTGAGATCCTCCTCCCCAGACTTGTCCCTACTGCTCTTCTCAGAGGCTGGTTCCTTCTGAAAAATATAAAGCAGAGCTAGAGTCCCCTGCTTCTAATCTTGACACCACCACTGACTAACTGAGTGACCTTGGGCAAGTCAACACCTGGTGCCTTAGTTTCCTCCTCTTTACATAGGGATATGAAGAGCCCCTCCAGGGACTGTGGCGAAGACAAGGTCAACACTTAACACATACCTCATACAGCTTCATCACCACAAGGGAAGGGAAAGCAGATGAGGGTGACGGAGGCTAGGTTGAGAAGGAGGCCCAAATATTTGCCCTACGATTTGCTTTTCTACCCTGTCCTCTGATTCCAGGCAACCTCACCCCAACAGTTTTCTAGAATCCTGGGTGATGCTTCAGCAAACTGTGGGAAAACTGTAGCTAATAAGAGCAGCTTTCTGTCCCTGGAAGCCCCCAGCCCAGGACCTTGACCTTGCTCTTTCCCTCCCTCCCAAGTCTATGGCTCACAGGAAGAGCAGAGGCTTGGAAAACATGCAGATCTGGTGGCTATCTCAGGCTCTGAGGCCTTGCCCAGGTTACTTTATTTAGAGGAACCTCAGGTTTCCTAATCTGTAAAATGGAATGATAATGTCACCAGGCTTGTGGGGCTGTTTATTGGGGGGGTGGGGGGAGGTGGTAGGAACAGTGTAAAGAATTGTAAATAGTTCAGTTGTAAGAACAAAAAAACCCCATGGTGCCAGAACCATAGAGCTACCTGCAGGAAGTATTTAATTGGTGTCTCCTGACCAAGTCCCCACCCACACCCAGAGCATGGACCCTCAACTTTAGGAGATTCTCAAGGGAGGAGATGCACGCTTTCATCACAGCTTCCTCCAAGACAGCAGCTCTCACACCTTCTGGAACTGAGAGAGACACCTTGTCAACCTCCCTTCCTACCTGTCTCCAAAATGGTGGCCACACTATGAAGGCCAAGGGAAGCACTGAGGGACCTGGAGTGGAGGTTGAAACAGAGTTCACAGAGCACCTTGGGGATCCAGAGGTGTGTGTGGGTGGGACCAAATGGGGGCTGGGAATCACTTTCTGGGGGAGGGGAGGGCTTGCTTTCCACATGGTCCCACAGGTGCCTGACTTAGGTGAGATATTGGTGGTAAAGACATCGGAAAAACAGGTCAGTGACAAGCCCACCAGACCCCCTCCTCCAGCACTGCCTTGGGGAAGGAGCAAGTAAGGCCTTCAAGAGACTTTGGATGAATGGGACCCCCAGACTGAACTCCTGGGGGGCCTCCAGACCCTGTGAGAGACTGGGCAGGAACCCTGTACCAAGCAGGCATCAGGGCTAGGACGTCTGGGTGGGTGTGGGGATGGATCACAGAGCTACCTGTAAGCAACTAAGATACTCTAAGACACCCATCCATGGGGTATGAGTTACACAGGTGACATGCTGGCTAAGGGATACCTATGAGACCCCGGCCATCTCCCTGAGGCCAGGGTCTTCCAGTCTTCAGTCGTCCTTTGAAGCAGGGCCCTTCCTCAGATTCTCACTGGGCTCTGGGCTCTCAAGGCCCCCATTTTGCAGGGTCCCCTAGACATCCCTGGCCCTCACTTCCCCACGGTCTATTTTTGGGACATCCTTCCTGCTTAACCTCATTAAACTGTTCCGGCTGGTTTCTGAGGCCCTGTAGGGGCCTGGCAGGTTGAGTGGTGGACGGAGCACACTCACCCAGAAGCAGGTTCATGAGCACCTCCTGGCCGGCCAGCGTGCTACTCTTCACCAAGCAGAGGATGGTGCCCCCAATCCAGGGGATGCCGTGGCCTGTGATGCCGATGAGCTTGACCATAGAGCGGGCACTGGCCCATGACGAGGCCCGGCCAGCACACACTCCCAGCCTCTTGGACATGCAGATATCAATGGCCAGCAAGGAGTTGAAGGCGATGCCCTTGAAGGAGGGGTTCAACTGCATGCAGTCCTCTTCGGGCAGCTGCTGTGACTGGCGCCGCTCACGGGCCCCATCACCAGGGGGTGGGGGCTGTGCCGACGGACCTGGGACTTTTCTGCCAGAGCTGCGGGGCTCTGGAGTCCCCTTAGGGGGCTGGTTCAGGGACAGAAACTCAGCTCGGTTGAGGACATTGTTTCGGTCTCGGGCCCGGGCCCGGCTCTGGGAAGCTGGCATGACAACCTTGTTCACACGGAGAAGGCCAGTGCCAGCCTGGCTCCAAGGGCCTGAAGACAAGAGCGGCCCTGAGAGCCGCCACCGTCCCTGTCTCCCAGTCTTCTCCGGTACACGCCGCAGCTGTTAAATATAGAGTGGAGGAATGCACATGGCTGTTTACCTCCGGCTGCCACCAGGCTCAAAGGGGACGTCAGTGCCAGGCTGGGCAGCCAATCAAGCCCACCAATGCGAGGCCAGCGCCAATGGAGCCACGGGGAAGCAGACGCATCCACAGCTGCGGCCTGGCTGCCTCAGGCCTGGGCTATTTAAATCTTCCAATGGCTCATGCCCAGGTTTCAGAGGACTCTGGGAAATGTAGTCCTCTTGTTTCCAAGCGCTCAAATTGATCTGGGGCTGAGGCAGATGTAGGACCCTGGAGAGACTCCTGCTTTTACCAGCTTCCCTCTGAGTGATCCAGACTCTGTGAGCCATGCCTACCAGCCCCACTGGCCTGGACAGACAGTGGAGACCAGGCCAAAGGGCGTTATCAGGACAGCAGGTGGAAATTGACCACGAAAATATCATCTTGAGCCTCCTGGGGCCAGGCCAAGCCCCTCCTTCTATGACAGCATTTCATTAAGCTGACAGGCTGGCTGGTTTTTCTTTTCTTTTTTAAACATCAGTCTTGAATTTGGCTTCAGTACATCACCGTCCAATCAAATGGAACTTTGAAAGACTTGATTTCCATTAGGGGGAGGAGTAATCAGTCTGTTGGTAATAGATCAGACTGTTGGATCTGGTTGTCCGAAGTACCCAGAGTCATGCAAAGGAAAGGGATGCCACAGTGGCTTTGGGCAGTCCATAAATAGTTGCCAAGAGCCTGGCGTCAGACTGCAGCAAGTGACACAGACTGCAGGCCTGTCCTCTGGGAGCTCACAGTACGAACTCACAGGCCACATAAATGCTCACAAGTGTGTAAAACATGTTTCAGGATCCTAGAACTAGACTCTGAGTCTGGTCTGGGAGTTGTACAGTTTCTCCTAGAAAGAGGAATCTCAGGATAAACAGAGTGGGCTTGGGCGGGGGAAAGTCTTCCCTGTATGAAGACTGAATGTGGGGAAGTGGGGTGAAAAAGAATGAGAGACTTCCAGTCCAAAAATGACAGACCAAGCAGGTCCACTGGAGGATTTGGACCTGAGACAGGTCTCCCTGTGTCTACCTGGGCAGCCTGGTGGTAGTGTGCCATGGTGACGGTCCTGACTCATAGCAACCCTATATAGTGTTTCCGAGGCGGTAAATCTTTACAGGAGCTAAAAGCCTCATCTTTCTCCAGCAAACCACTGGTAGTTTCCAACCGCTGACCATGAGATTAGCAGCTCAACTAGTAAACACTACGCTATCAGAGCTCCTTTGGGCAACCTGAGGGAACCCAAAGTTAACAGAAGCGAATGTTCTCTGGTTACAGTGGATGAATCATTAGCTCCAGAGTCAGGTGAATCAGGGAATAAACTGTGGGGAATAAACCATACTAGCTGCATGAACCTAAACAAGTCACTTCACCTACCTGGGCCTCAGTTTTTCTGCCTGTAATTTGGGAATAATTGTGCTCAGTTCCAAGGCTTGCTGGGAACACAAAGAAATGATGTTTGTAAAATAATGAGCAGGGTCCCCTGCCCCATGGTTAGGAACTTTTGTTGTTTGACTTATGAGGCATGGTTCTCTGTCACTTCTGAGTGTCCCATTCAGAAGAATTCTCATGGGGTGCCGCTGGACACTCAGGGTCCCTTACATACTCTCACTTCAGTCCAGCTGGGATGGACCAGGCTGGGCCTGTCATCCTCTTCTTTCAGAGTATCCCATTCACATCACATAGCCATGGAGGGAGATGTCCTAGGCCCCACAACAGCCTACCCTCTTGAGTGCAGTCATGATGAGACTTGCTACCACACACTGGAGTCTATCATTAGCCATACAGATAGAGATGGAGATGTGATGATGAATATTGGGCAAGTGTATGAACTCAATGTGTGTTAGTGTACTGACACCACAGAGCCAAACTTTCTGTGACATAGCTGTGTCATCATCTCCATCTTACAGATGAGGAAGTTGAGGCTCAGAGAGGTGAAAGTACCCAGCCAGGAAGACAAAGAGAGGGGAAGTCCAACTCCAAGCAGCTCCTGGCATGGGGCACGCGGGCCTCCAGACTCAGATCTCTCAGATCACAGGGACCTGTATGTGCTCACTCAGCTTTCATCCAAGACATTGACCCCACTGGGTGGGGTCCATGACCTAGACTGGCCTCAGGAAGAGCAGAGGAGCTCAGCTCAGACAGGGACTATTAATAACCAACAGCCTATGCCAGCATCTTGGGCTGGCAGAAGCTGTGGCAGGTTCTGCGAGCCACAATGGGCTCCAGGATTTGGTAAACCATGAAGTTTCATTTGGTTCTGGCCCAAGAGTGGTTAAGACCTGGTGTCTTAGCACTCTGGTGTTGCTGTAACAGATACGCCACAAACGGGTGCTTTAACAAAACTCTTTTCTCACAATTTAGGAGGTGAAAAGTCCAAATTCAGGGTGCCATCTCTAAGGGAAAGGTTTCCCCCTTATTTCTTGATTCCTTGGCAGTCTTCACATGGTGTAGCATCTACCGTCCCCATCTCGGCTTGCTCTCTGAGCCTAATTACTCTTAGTATATCCCAAAGGTGATTGGCTGAAAACACACCCTATACTGACATGACCTCATAACATAACAAAGAAACCCATCCCCAAATTGGATTATAGCCACTGTATCATTGTTAAGTGCAGCAGGTTCCAACTCACAACAAACAACCCTGTATAGAGTTTCCAAGGAGCAGGTGGTGGGTTTGAACTGTCGGCTTTGTGGTTAGTAGTCCAGTGCTGATTCTGCAGTACAAGCCGGGTATGTTGTTGTTGCTGTTAAGTGTCGTCAAGTTGATTTTGACTCATTGTGACCCTGTGTTGGCTTTTAAGGAGCAGCTGGTGGGTTTATACTGCTGATCTTCTGGTTCACAGACCAGTGAAGATCCTACAGCGCCATACCAGAAGTACAAACATGGTATAGGGGTTAGGATTTACAACACATATTTCGGGGGGAATGCAATTTAATCCATCAAACCTAGGCTCTGGGATAGGGCAACCCTGGGTTTAAACCCCTGCTCAGCTACCTCTAGCTAAATGACCATGAACAAGCCCTTCCTCCCCTTTGGATCTAAGTAGCTAGTGTTTTACGATAATATAATTACAACAATAGCCTTATTTTTCCCCTCACTATCAAAGTGCTACATACTTACTGTAATAAATTCAACATATACTTATGAGTATATGCAATCCCCCCAATCTGAGATCACCACTGCTAACATGAGGATGGTCAGTTAGGGGTATGGGGTAACACTCACTTTCATCTTTTCCAATTATGGAAATATTTTACAACCAAATAATAATTAGAAAAGAATATACACATCTATGTATATGCTATGTACTTTGTTGTTCTTAAGTGCTACAGAATTGGGTCTGACTCATAGTGACCTTGTATAGGGTTTCTGAAGAGCAGCTGGTGAGTTTGAACCACTGACCTTATGATTCTTATCCTACAGAGCCACACCAGGATTCTCTCTATATATAGATATAGATATAGATATAGATATAGATATAGTTTAGTTGTTGTTAAGTGCCGTTGAGTCGGTTCTGAACCATAGCAGCCCTGTATAGGGTTTCCAAGGAACAGCTAGTGAGCTTGAACCGCCAACGTTGTAGTTCAAAAGGTTTTGCAGTCTGGCGCATTAACCCACAGTGCCACATCAGGATTCTCTCTCTCTTTATATTTTAGACATATGATAATATTATGTGCCCTTTTAAGGAGCTCTGGTAGCATAGTGGGTAATGAGTTGGGCTGCTAACTGCAAGGTCAGCAGTTTGAATCTACCAGCTGTTCCATGGGAGGAAGATGAGACCTTCTGCTCCCATAAAGATTTATAGCCTCGGGAACCCTATATACAGGGTCTCTATGAGTCAGAGCCGACTCCATGGCACTTCACACCATCATCACCATATGCCCTTTAAAAAAAATAATAACCTACGCCTTTCACGTTACAACATACACTTGGCCATGTATCTATGACAACCCTTTCATTTTCAACGGGTGCCTGGCATGGGCCTTAATTTGTGTCTAATCCTCCATTATTGGACATTTAGTTTGTGTCCATCTTGTAGCTATTCAAAACTATTCTGGCCTGGTCATCCTTATACATACATCCCTGGACAACTAAGTGACTAAAGTGGCAAGTGACAAATAAGCCAGTGCACAGAGATGAATCCCCCTGAATCCCACGGGCTCAGCTGAGCCACTGAGTGCAGGGCCCAGACATGGGAGAGCACAAAGGAGTCCTAAACACTTAGAAGGGCAAATACAATCATCCTCTTCCCATGTTAGAGATGAGGGAGAGCAGGCTCAGAGCTGAAACATTATCTAGGAAGTCACATAGCTGGTGGGGATTTTGGACCCTCTGACTGCTCAGTCTGTGAACTGTCTTTCTGATCATGTGTCTCACAGCTTCTCCGTGCCTTGCCTGATTGAGCTCACCAGTCACTCACTCACTCACTCACTCACTCACTCACTCACTCACTCACTCACTCACTCACTCAAATCTCTTGAGACCTACTGTGCACCACGCCCCATGCAAGGATGACTGTGCAAAGATCCATCTTTCCAGACCACCTGGTCTCCCCAGACTTTAGAGAGGCATTTATCCCACCTGCACCTTGTTCCACATAAACTTCTTGTTTGTTGGGCAATTAGGGAACACGTGACTAGTCTGGATCCACAGCTCAGAAGGGGCAGAGGCAGGATTCAGGTCTCAGCCAAGCACCCTTGCCCCTACCCACCAGACTGTACTGCCTCTCACTAACTTGAGCAGGAGAGATTTCCTGGCAGCTGTGTGGAATCTAAGGAAGCATTTATACATTATGTTGTTGTTGCTAAGTACCATCGAGTGAGTTCTGACTCATAGAGACCCTGTAGAGGGTTTCCAAAGCAGTGGCTGGTGGGTTTGAACCACTGACCTTTCAGTTAATAGTCCAGTGCTTATCCTACAGTGCTACACATTTGAATGTTTAAGATAGATTTGCTAAGCATATTTATCACTAATCTGTATTTATCACTTGTTACTCTGTGCTAACGTACATACGGCCCTGACACCTCTTCTAATCATCACAGCAACTTCAGAAGAGAAATCTTTAGCCTTGATAATACAAATGAGAAAACTGAAGGGATACTATCTAGGTCATGGGGTGAGTCTGCTGGGGTCATGG